TCTATACTCCTATAATTGAACTATCGTTGAGGCGACATACTTCTGTGCAATGCGAGCGACTGTAGTTATCATATATGAGGAGTAGGCGCACGATAGGTCGTTTTAATGGATTTGGTGGATTACGTGATGATGTAACAAACAACCGAATTAAAACATCTAATAAAACGCCTTCCTCGTTTTCTGGTTACTTTTCACAATCTGTTAAACACTGAAAGTTTCTCATAAATTGTTCAATTTTCGCATTGAATTTTGAAAGGAATGATTCACATTTCAACAAAATGACCTGATTTTCTTTTACTTTATTTTCTTCTATAAAATTAGAGTCATAATCCAATTTCAAAATAGTTTCAATTAGGAGAAAAATTAATCTACACTGTATTGTTATTAGAGAAGTAGGATTATATAAACTATCAATTCAAAGCCAAATTTTGCTTTGATATGTTGTACAAATGAATTTTCTATGATGCTGAAGGTAAGTTTGCCAAAAAAAAAACTTGGGAACATTGTTAGCCATTCTGGCATTGCAAATATTTTGGTAATAGATGGTATAGTGAAAACAAAAATTCAAAAATAAAATTATAATAAACTTGGGAATAGTTAATTCCCAATAAATATAGTGAATATCTAAACACAAGAAGAATTTTGGGGGGAGGAGGGGGCGAGATGGAGGGAGAGCACTAACCATCATGCAATAGGATCTCATTCAAATGCGTAAAAGACACCCTCTACTTTTTTAACCTCATATATTTGCATAGTTTAAATACATATATTTTTTTATACCTTTTATGGGATTTATATCAAAATAGTTAGCCTGCAGGCAGTCAAGCCATCTCCTACATCAATTCAACAAAATGTTGATAACCTTGTCTGCAAGAAACAATTCATGCAAGTTGTTTTCATCAAAAGATGACCTTTTAAGAAAGCAATCACCTATAACCTTTGACAACTTGCGGAATTATAGCTGTAGCATGTGGATTCACGATTGTTTAGATCGCCAAGATAGACAATGTGACTTTGTTGTAAACAATGAATGTATTAAAAAAAAAAGATTTAGTACTGAATTATAGCATTACCACACACTGTGTAAACAGTTGCTATTACACATTATACTAATGAAAGTATGCTTCAAGCAAAATATGATACAAAAAGTAGAAATTTATTTATTTTTTTTTACTTTTCATTTCAACTGGAAACAACATGCCTTATAAACAATTCTGACTGGATGAGGCTTTATTCTACCTTGGTGTCCAAAAAGGAGAAAAAGAAAAACTGTAAAATAGCATACTTGTTTCTTGATTTCACTTGGTTATTGTTAATATACTGTACTTGTTCTCTTTGGCTAAACGATTCTACCACAATACAGTATTACGCAGAAAATATGAAAACTAAATTTTAATTTAATAAAAATAAATGTGTGATAAAGGTGGAAGTAATAGAGACCACCCTCTAATAGCCCTTAATGGAGATCCTACCAAGTGATGTTGCAATATAAATAGTTCAGTAATCAGATTAATAAGTAACAAGTCCTAAGTTCTGTCCACACTTTATTGAAAAAAAAATGTCACATGCCTAAATATAGTCATGATTACATCACATGATGACCATATATAGGCACATGATGACCATAAATAGGCACATCATGACTATATATGGGCATACAAAAGTTTTTTGTCTTGGTAAAATTTGATAGTCTAGACTGTGCATTAATAAGTGGGGCTGGCAATGTATAGTCACAAGTTAACATTTGGCCTTTGTTAAGATTTGAACCAGGACCCTAGGATTAGAAGGTGACTACCAAACTACACCGCTACTACAACATTCAGGATGTGCACACTTAAAAAGGATTCAGTTTCAAAATAGCGCTATTTTTAATTCAAAGTAACATTTATTTGATTTCTTTTCTAATTCATACAAATATAAAATATAAAATCTGTAACAATTCATGAGAAAAATAAAAAGGCACAGAGCTAGGGAAAAAAATATTGACAAGTCAGCCTAAAAGAAAAAAACAAAACAAAAAGGTAACATGGAAAAAATAGACAGAAAGAAAAAATATATGGACAAAAACAAAGAAAGCATCAAATTAAACAAATACACCGAACACAATTTTGTAAGAAACATGAAAGTACATAGGTTTATATCTCTCAAAAAAAGAATTGATTGTTTAGATCTCTTTTATAATGTAAAAAAATATAATATTAGAAATCAATAATGTGTATCAGTGCTATAGGAAAGTAGTATTAGCTTAACTTAAAATAAACACCCATCTATACCAAAGTACACAAGCATCAAATACTATGCCTTCATCTCTCTACCAAGCTAATGTCATGGAAATAATACATGACATAAAAGGGTTAATCAATGGGTTTGAAAATATCGCGACAGTACCCTGGGAATTTGCGACATCACAAGAAGAAGCTTTTTGCTCCGAGCATCCTCTTGGCAATTTATCTGAAGTTTATATGGAAGGCAGAATTACACTAAAAATTATTGCAATACATTTAGCAAAATGGAAGCTACAAACATACAATAGCAAACCTGTAGTTGAATAAATTGAGGTCTAGCATATTGATATCTTGGGAATTGTAATTTTTTTAAGGTTCAAAGGCAGAATTACTCTTAGCAATTAGAAGCATGGAATGGAGTTATTAGTGAGGCTGAGATACATTTTAGCAACAGACATAATCGGTGATCCCGCGGTAGCAGAGGTTGTGTAATATTTATTAGGTATTGATTGCAGTATGCTTAGTATAAAGGAAAGAGGTAATGTAATACTATATTAAAATAAAAACTAGAACCTATCAATAGACATTATCGATGATCCCGTGCTAGTAGAGGTTGTGTAATATTTATTGGTATCGAAAGCAGTGTACTGTACTCTGTATAAAAGGAAGAGGAAATAATACTGTATTAATATGAGAACCCAACGATGTAAATGCCAAAGCAAGGCAGTATGGTTATTCGAAAGTTTTAATACTCATTCTAGCATTCTCAATGCAGTTTAAGAATCTAGAGTAGAAATCATGTAGTTTAATGTTTTGTAAGCCTAGAGCTAGCCTAGCATCACAGTGGGTCAATCACAGTGTATCGTAGTGCCTGAAAAGGCAGCAGATATAGGCCTAACTCACTTTGAAAAATTGCCAATATTCTCATTAAATCCTTGTGGATTATCTCTGAATTTAAGTTTATCCTGGAATATAGTTTAATCAAGTTAAACCTTCATCAAGATATTACTGAATGGTTCACATTAAACTTAGTCCTGTTAACTAGACTATAGTAATCCATTATTGGATTTAAGTTCAGTGTGAACCAGGCTAGATGCAAAAAAGCATAAAGACTGAATGTTACTAAATACATAAATTATTTATCAATAAACTCACTATCTACTGCTAATTATTGTTAATTAGCTGACTAATTGTTAATCTAATAACACCAAGTTAATCATGTTTAATTAGTAATAATACTTAGCAGCTAAGTATAAATATGACAGACAGTATCTATTTCCAGTGAACCAAGTCCAATTTGTAACCAAATTTGCTCATCAGGGATTTGAAAATTTATCTTTAGAGTTAAGTCACCTGGAAATTATTTGTCTTTGTTATCATCTACAGTAGGCAGCTTAATGTCTAGCCAGTATTAAATAGTAATTATTAAGTTTTACTAATTAATCAAAGTGTAATGAGTATGATTCTAATTGGATCCTCCATGAATGCAAGATAAATTACTTTAATTAATTCTGTTTTTAACTACAATGGGCAGTAAGATGCATGAGTTTTGAATAAGAAAATTCTATTAGAGAACCAACTATTACTTTAAAATAATAGGGATAATAAGATGAAACTGGTAAATAGGGCCCTATCTTGTTAAGAATCACAGAAAAATTACTGAATCTAAAAGAGACAGATCTGATTCATCATGACTGAAAACTACCAAGGCCTCATTAAAATCAGTGGTAAAAAAATCTTCAGATTGCTTTGCTAGACTAATGTCTTCCTTGGTTATACATTTTATTGTTGTTATTATTTTATAGGATTTATATAGTGTACATATGCAGAAAACTAATCAAGGCACATTTTCCCTAGTCACTAGACTAGATACAGAATCAATCATACACAATGTGCAACCTCCTCCGCTCCCTGGGGGAGTATTCCTAGTTTATGCGTGTAATCAGCACTACTAATTACATTCCGAATCATTCACTTTCTACCAGGTACCCATTTATGCTCCTGGGTGAAGAGAGGCAAATGCAGCTAAAGCGTCTTGCCCAAGGACATAAGCAGTGTGACAAGCATCAACCTCAAACCTCCAACCTTCCGATTAAAAGTGCAACATCTTACACGCTACGCCACATAGCTTCTATACCCGCTTGTCATACCTGGCCATACATTATCTGCTATGATCAAGTAACACCTGGTCTTACCTGGCCAACATTATCATACTTGTTCACTCAATATCTGCTGGTTATACTTGGTCACATCAATTAAGATATGGTAATACCTGGTGATAATGTATTTTGTCATGAGTAAAAGTACATGGATCACCTGTTAATATCTGGTGATATGTGGTCACACCTTGTCATCATACTGTGTCATCTAAATACAGTACATGGAATCTATTCAGATCTGTTAATTAATGGTCATACCATGTAATCATACTTTGGTCATACCTAGTCATACAGGATATGGCCATGAGTTTAGGGTAATACTACAGTAATATCCAATAATACAGTACATGGCCACTAATTTATATCTGGTAATACCTGGTCATACCTAGTATACAAGAACATAGCCATGAGTGGTCTTACCTTTTGTAATATTACAGTCATGCTAGTAATATTACATGGCCATGATACGGTAATACCTGGTCATACCAAGTAATAATACAAAATATGGCTATGATTTTAGATCTGGTAATGTCAGCCGGCCATACCTTGCAATTAGTGTGGTCATACCCACCAATTGATACAGTATGTGGCTGTTTGTAAATGTGTAAAAACATACCTTGTGCAGCCTTGCTCTCCTCATAACTACTGGTTGTCATTGACCTTTCTCGTAGCACCTGAAGCTCATCTGATATGGTTGACAAAATATCCTCATCTGCCTTCTCATCTAATGATGACTCAGACTGAGACTTAAAAAAAGAATCAAACTTAATACCTCCACATTTATATATTATTATTGTACTACATTCTTCAACATGCACGTGGGCCATATCGTACACAGGACCAACGGCTTAACGTCTCATCTTAAAAACGTGCAAAATCGTAACTTGTATTTCAGCCCTTCAGCTGATACACAAGAAGAGCAGCAGATGGAATTAAACCGGACCAATGGTCTCCATGCTTCATCGCACACATACAATAGCTACTACCAGTTTAGCTGACTATCTAAAGCTAGTGTTTACTCTGAACTTTGCAAAATTAATCTCATGTAGGTTATTTATTTGTATGCAACAATCGAGACTTAACTTTAAAAAATGATTACTAATAATAAGATTTTAAGAGAAACGATGTCAAGCAATACTTCTATTTTTCTAAATTTTGATTTTTCAGCTTCAAGCAGGAAAGAAAATAATTCCAAGCAGCATTAAAGAAAACAATGTACCTGAATACAACGAATGATTCCATTATTTTCTTGAGGATATTCTGCAGCACTCAAGAAAATAATGTGCCTGAATTTGACCAGCAATTCCATTATTTCATTGAGGGTATGCTGCAGTTTTGCCCATTATACACAGTTTGCATACTGTTATTACTGTATTCAAGCACAGTGCAGAGGTATGCACTCTATGGAATCACTGCTCTGGTTATATTTGTAACGTTTTCCATAGATTTTTAATTAATTCAAAAACATGAGGAATAAAAAAATAGGAGAAATTTAAACCACAGAACCCCCCTTTTAAGCCCCCACATCTCTCTCTGGACAATGTGTGCAAAAATATGGTATTATGTAATCAAGTCAATCATAATATATTTTTAAATAATAAGCACACACAAACTTATAGTATATTTAAACTATTAGCAAAGGAAGTGATTTTTAATTTACCTCCTTGAAAATTTCATCAATTTCCTCAATGACCTGATCTGCGGTAAGGACAGGGACATCGTTGTTGTCATTGTGAACCGACGTTAAGATCATTGAATGCATGTCAAAGCTTTCCGCAAGATCCTCGTCATCAGGAAGGTCCAAGTTTGTGGTGGTGTCTGCCGGCTATAAAGACAATCAACAAATATAATATAAATGTAATAAAAATAATAGGCATATAATATAAAATGAAAATAGAAAAATAAATATTATTAATTAATAAATAAAAAAGTGGTATGAATATATATCTGCTGGTCAACAAGTCCAACAATGCTTTACATTTTAATGGAAGTTTATCTTTTGAACTATACAAATTCAAGACACTTTATTGTCTATAATACAATAAACAAAAAGTTGAATTAGGGGTCGTGCAAAAACTATTTCACCGCGAGTGCCGCGTTATCGCCTTTTTCCTTATCAGATCTACCGCGAGTTCGTTAATGAGGCCAGTCAGTGAAGCATTACATTGCTACCGCGGAAGATCATGAATATTTATTAGCTGTCTGCTCTGTCTAACCAAGTCGACTGTAGTGGCCTAACGCGAGTACCGCGATACGATAGATTCGTGAAATAGCAGTACAGTACGATCCTCTTGGTGTGGGAAAATCCACACAGCACGAACTTCCTGGTTGAGGAATTGATAAAAACTGGCTGCTAGCCAAAGGTACAACCTGTATTGTGCCGACTGTTCTGGATTTGGACTATACTGATCGGAGTACTCGTACATTCTTTATTAAGCGTCTAGAAGTCAGATGTCGCATAGAATAGAGTTCTCTAATTTTATTTCATAAACGAACTCGCCCAATGCGATTTAGATCACAACCTCAAAAAAACTATAGCAAATAACACATAAATGATAAATACATGTTTACATTCTTGAATTAGTGTAATTTACTCAAGGCCTATGCACCTCCTAACAACAACAATCTTCATGAATTATTTTAATAAAGTTATTTAGGCCCTATGTCTATGTCCTCCTTTGTAAGGAAACCCAAAATTCAGGCCTATTTTCAAACTTCACTTTTTAATTTGCTCGTATTTTTCTATGTATGCCTATATGAAGCATAAAAATCCACTATTAATATTGACATGTGCAAAACGCAAAAGTAATGGATTAGGCCAAGTCCTGCATTGTATTGGCTTCTTTGTAATGGTACATATATGGATGGTGTAATGTTTTCATTATGAGGATACCACATTTGCCTGGCAAGAGTTTATTACAGTACTGTATTTTAAACATGTCCGAATTTATTCTGTACTGTATTTGTTGTTTACGGCTAATTAAGACGCGATAAACGGAAAAGAATGCGTGGGTGGAGGGGAGAAACTGGTCAACGACTTTTACATGCTAACATTTTAAAAGTAAAAAACGGAGCATTTTGGGTTGCGAAGCAAAGGCCTTGGTCTATGGGAGGAGGGGTGTGTCAATTAAATTATAAATTATTATATTATATGAGGGCCCGTATAAGGGTAAATCGCATGATTGTTATGATGTGTACAGTAGGCTACTCCAATAATAAAATATATTTTGTGTAGAATCACATATATTTTCTTGTGTGGCTATATCTTTATGAATCAATTTCTTATTTGCTGGCCCTTTCAGTGTCGGAATGGTAATTTAGTTTATTATTATGAATATTATTATTATGACTATTATTATTATTATTATTATTATTATTATTATTTAATAATAATAATAATAATACATTGCAAGGCTGAGGTCAAGTTCATTAATGCTGGAATGATATATTCAATTTATTATTATTATTACTTTTACTATTATTATTATTATTATTATTATTATTATTATTATTATTATTATTATTATTATTATTATTATTTTTATTGCGCCAACGCTGCTTAACGAACTCAAAACATCAACCACACGACTTCGTGTGTAGTCATCGAAGTTAGACGTCATTTGCACTCTGGAAAACGTTCTGTACTTTATTAGGCGTACACTGACCAGTGACCACTGATTAATAGGTCCATGCACTGACCTAAAATCCATACATTAATTTCTTATTTCATAGGTTTTATGTCAATGTTTTTGCCTAATTCTGGGTAAGTGTTTTGGTATGACTATTAAAACTAAATATTTTCATTTATATTTGTTCTGACAGCAATATTTAATTTTGAGGTTGTTGTATACTGTATTTGTATTTCTCTACTTGGCCTATACTTTCTCAATAAACTTAAAATATTTATTGCTCTAGACGATTTATCGGTACTGCATATTGATAGTTATTTTATGTCATTATTCACCAAATAAACTTGAACTCCACCCAAACACCACTCATTTATGTTCATAAGCAGGGCAGGGTGTGCCGGGTATACAGCATTGTTCTAATAATCTTCCTGGATTTAGGACACTCCAGATATCGGTGACAGTTGTCTCATAAAATTATTCTGCGACAATCATTTAAATAACAATGAAACTAGTACTTCAGGGAGGGAAAACTTACATGATGAGAGTGACCAGGTATAGATTCTATAACTATTAATTCTGATCGTCACTTTAATGACGACATCGATATGGAGTACAATGAGATTCATCAGCGAAACCAAATTGAACTAGAAAAGCTGCTAAAAGCTGCCGAGCCAAAACAACCGAAGTTGATTAAGAAGAAAAAAGATGTGGGTAGACCACCCAAACACAAACAGTTTCCAACTATTGTGGAGGAAACCAGACTCTTTCTTCAAACAAACGGATTTGCAGCACAGGAAAGGAGGAGGACAGAGACTGCAATGAGCACAGGTGTCACACTGGGTGATATCACCAACCACCTTAAAAAAACGGTACCAGGATTGAACGAGTCAGGTATTAGTAAATCTACTGTCCACCATCTAATGATGCCGCCACGGTCTAACACTAAAAACAGTACCAACTACAAAGGGCTTGTTAAAGCAAGAGTTCCACCAAAATCGAACAACCAAACGAAGAGCAAACATCTAGACCTTCATTATTGTCGATCTCAGTGTTCGATGTTAAACGAGGCATGTGAGTATTTTAATGGAGAATGTTTGCGATTGTCATGTGACGATAAAAATAAAATCAACGTAGGGACTCTGGCTGTCAGCAGGTACCACCAGATAAATAGATTCTTCATGTGCGACGACCAACCAGATTACCTAGACCATGACTTTCCGTACGAGGATAGTAAAATAATTCCGTCTGGATATTTGATTATGACGACAAAACACGACGTTGGAGACAGATGTAGGTCGAGGAGTGCAGAGAGGTATACTGATGTCAAGACAAATTCAGGAAGAAGATGCCGCTCATCATCGCCAAAACGTACCACACTCGCCAAATCAAAAGGGCGCTTCTATACCGATAAATTAGGCCGTACAAGAGTAAAATATGGTAGAACTGGACCCGCCTATATATTCAACAGAGCAACTAGATTCAGTCAATCAACGGCGCAAACTCATGCCAACGATCTTAGTTTACTCCTCAGCAACAAAGATATAGTGGGTGATAAATCAGTTTTATTTATCATGGCTGATGGTGGGGCAGACTGGTCCACCAAATCATTTAAGACTTTCCTCAACCAAGGTCGTTTATGGAGGGACAATGATTTCGATTATTATGTTGTTGCCAACTTAGCAGCGGGTCATTCCGCAGAGAACCCCATAGAACATTTATGGTCGCCGCTCTCCAGGAAACTTGTTTCTGTTACTTTGCCGATTACATTACCTGGGGAGGACACTCCTCCATGCCAACAACGTCAATTGTCAAGTGATGAGCGGGAAAGTAAATTTGCTAAAATCTTCGACAACGCAATCGAGAGTCTAGGAAGTTATTGGCAGATGAAACATGATGGATTCTCAATTACTCCGATTCATATCCCATGTAAACACAGTCCAGCTCCGTATTCAGATCACGACAAACTTAACGAATTCACCAAGTCTGGGATAAAGAAAATCATGCAGTGTCCTGAACTTTCTCAAATTCAAAGCGAATTCAAATTCTTCCTAAGGCATTCAGTAAGACGTACAAACATGATCGAATTTGTTAAATGTGAAGACAGCGCATGTGACCATTGCTCAACTCATCCTGTGAAAGCCAAAAAATTCATGTCGTATTTACGTTCATCGAACAGCAGGATGTTCACACCGACGCAAAATCCGACTAAAGATGGGCACTACTACACGTGGCTAGAAATGAAAAATCGTGTGATCGATATGAAAAAAAACATGCTAGGTAAGTTATTGTTATTATACCTGTAATGAATTTTATACAATATTTTTTTTTACATTAATTTAAGTCCTTTGACTATATATATATAATGATATATCGACAAACAATATTATACTATACTGTATTTTTTTTTTTTTTGTATACGCAAACAATTACCACCAATTCAATTTACTAGTGCTGTATCTAGGGAGTGCGCACGCCCCTCCAAAAATTACTCGCCCAACCTTCTCCAACCCCCTTCCCCACTCAAAAATCACGGTCAAGTACTTAAAACTTATTTTGCGAATTAGCACCCCTCAACTGATAATCGAGCCTCCACTTTACCTTCGCGTTCCCACTCCCATCAGCACCCATATTTTAAGACTTCTAGATACGCCGCTCTCCTGAATCCTGTTTGGCTAGGAATACGTACTGTACTTTACTATAAAACATAGGCCGGTTTTTGATATATATAGGCATAATACATTACAAATCAGTTTACTTTTAACAAAGTCATCATTATTTCCACAGAACCCGATGTTGCTTGTCCATCTCTCGAGAAAGATGGTGGTCCAAGAATGTGTTCGAGGGGATGTAAATATGTATTTACATCTAAAACGGATGAAAGTCGCCATGATCTGATTGTTCATTTTGAAGAACGCAAAGAAGAGAGACGCAACAAGCGCAAGCGGAAGCGCAATGACAATGGCCTGTAGTGCTCAATACAGTAGGTTTATTAATTAGGTAGCTTTTGTCGCATGACGTTAACCTTAACCTTAAGTTTATAACATGTACAATACTGTATAGTTAAGGCAATAACATTCACATTTACAGAATTTCAAGCCCCCAAAACGTACACTCAAAAATACCGGGATGGTGTCAGGCGGGGGATAGTTTATAACCATGTACAGTATAGTTAAGGCATTAATATTCACATTTACAA